ATTGTCTCTTTATCAGGTTATAAAAGAATTCTACAGAAGAAAAAAGTTCTCCTCTGACATAAACCCTTGAGTTAAGTAACAACAGAGCAATATTACCATAGCGCGGTGCGAAAAGAGGAGCCGTCAACACGTGGTTGGTTCTTTCACCCTACAGTCACGTGGATTATTCAGGAATCCAAAACGTTACAATACGAACATCGCCGATGGGGGATCATTGTACTTTTTCGTAAGGGGGTTTAGCTTGTCCTTGTATAGGAGTGGAGATTTTTATATTTTAAGCCTCTCATTATTTTTCACGCTATCAAGCATACAGAAAAGGAAAATAAATAAAAATTTTCCATGAAAAAAATAACAATAACAATAATTAAAAAAATAAATGTGTTAAATAAAATAAAAAACTTGAAAACAACACTACATTTTCTAGAAAGAGCTTTGATCGATAAACTTATTCAATTAGCAAATTCTCTAAAAGTTATATTTAGCCTTTTTTCAGAATTATTAACAATGAGAAATAGTTAATTATTTAAAATAAACTAAATTAAAGATACATTAAAGGAAGACATGTTGAACATTGGGTATCTAAGCCCCATAAAGTGACATCAATGAGAGCCAAATGATATTAAATACCACTTAATTATACAATCATAAACCGAGTTTAATCAAAATTGCTAAAGCAGTTTTTGAGAAAATTATGAAAATGTGTATCACTGTTGATATGAAGTGCCACTTCCGACTTTAAGTCGATTTTAACGAAAAAGTTGCTGTCACATCTGAACGACATAGAAACCTTAAATGGATAATTTCAGTTTTGTACGACTTTTCGTTTATGAGCTACACTGTTAACACAAAGACACAGACCATTTTGCGGGACTTGGTTATTTGGTTATTGGTTAGGACTTGGTTATTTGGTTATTGGTTGGGACTTGGTTATTGGACTCAGGTGACTTCAAAACTGTATTTTGTATATCGTTGAATACTCAGATTCGAAAATTTTTACGATCGCAATATTTTCCCTTACTATACAAGGTGTTCCGTAAGTAGAGTGAAATTTTTATAGGAGTGATAGCAACCTCAAGAGCTACAAAAAAATTCATAACAATGGGTCAATTTTCAGCAGAAAAGTAGGAAATCCACGTTTTCTGTTTTTTTATGTGAGACATGTTTATTATTGAATAGAAAGCAATATTTAATTTCTATTAACTAATTAATAAATTTATTTATTCCTATTTACATCTAAGAATTAAATAATTTCTATTTTAGCTAAATTAAGCTAAGTTCTGTTTTTCATAAAAAAAAAAAAACCTAAATTATTCGCCATTTTTTTTTTTCATTATACAAATAAACTACAGTTTTCCCCCTCTTATAGAAACTTCTTCGTTTAGTAAGCTTTAAGTTTGTATCAATTAAGTTTAGATTTATTGCGGGAAATTTTGAGATTCAGCTCAAGTTCTGTAAAAAAAAAAAATATTTTTTAACCTGACAAGTAAAACTACCCCTGTTTTCAGCAAAAATTACTACAATTAATTGTTGCAAGCTTTTATTTCTTGTTTATCCATGATCTGGGATGTATTTTAATAAACACACTTTATATTCGTAAAAAAAAATTAATTCGAAAAATACTGATTTACATGTATATATATCGGGCTGAAGTCCCCTCCAAAATTAAATCCTGGACCCGTTACTGTTTAGAAAAAATTCGACAATAAATGTTTTGATATCAACAATAAAAAGGTTTTTTTTTTGGTTTAATTTTTATATTCACACCTGTCATAATGGTAATGACAACCAGTGAATGTGAGGTTGATTGGAAAAAATAATGTCTTGAAAGGCATTACGAGGATCAGTACCCAGCGGCACCTCACTCGGCGTGATATCTACGTTAGGCGAGGAGGTCCCTCATCCAGCTCCTCTTCAGTCTCCTACAGACGTTACCTGGCATATTCGTAGTGGCCATGTCATTTATAAGTGTATTAGGATGTCCTTGTAAGTTGTCATGGAATCGTTTGTAATGAGTTCGTATGTGTTCGTTAACAGTCGGCATATGGAGGTCAGTATGTAAGGTTATGTTGCTAACGTATCAAGGTGCTTTTGTGATAGTCCTGAATGTTTTTGCTTGAAAGGTTTGATGTTTGTTTAAGTGAGTCTTTTTAGCAGTTCCAAATATTTGTGATGCGTAAGTCCAAATAGGTTTTAGTAAGTAATTGTATGTGTTCAATTTCTGTCTAAGTTTTAATTTTGAATTTTTCAAGTGAGTTCAGAATTCTTAATCTTTGATTTAGCGTTTTTCGTTTCTTGGTTATATGTGGGCCCCACGTCATTTCTCTGTCAAATGTCAGACCAAGGTAGTGAACGGTGTCTGTCTGTGAAATCTGTGTATTGTCAAGGAAAACTGGAGGGCATGTTTCATGTCGAAGCGTAAATGTGATGTGCTGTGATTTTTCTTGATTTAGTCGGATTTTCCAAATTTTGACCCAGTCATGTAATTTTGTTAAATACTGTTGTAGGGCCTGTGAGGCGTATGTTGGATTTTTGTGTCTTGCTAAAATTGCTGTGTCGTCTGCATATGTCGCTGTTAAAATGTTGGGACTGCAAGGTATGTCATGGGTGTTAACAAGTTTTTAAAATCTATATTTACTTATTAATGTATAAAAAAGTTTTTTCAAGCCTAAATATAATTAAATGTTGAGTTAAGTAACTGGTTGTTATAATAAACAAAGTCTATATAAGACAACACAATCAATGCCTTCTACAATGGAATCTGTTCAGGGTCAAAACAATAATTTCAGATTTGCAATTACGATCATTATTTACGATGGCTGAAATTACATGCATAGTAAGTAATTTTGTATCAATGAAAACTGATTTAAAATAATGACAGAGCTCTAACTTATTGTCTGAAAACGTATTACACAACGGCGTTATAAAGAATCGTGTTATAGTATTCATTTAAACTAACTATAAAAATCATAATGAAATAGGAACGACCTTCGATTTACGATTAATTTAATGATTGGTTTACGAATCAGTCCGCAAATTGTATTTACTGCGTTATTCCTTTGTCAAAGAACTTCAAAAGGAGCTAAATATGAATTACAAATCTGTGTAGCGAATCATCTGAAAGATTTACCAATTTATATCTCAATATTACAACACACATCCTTGAAGTTTCAAGACACGTGTTGAACGGACTACTTTCAATTGATATTCTGTTTAGTATTAAAAAAAAAAAAAAATCCGGATGGAAAATTATTAATTCAAAAAAACTTAAAATCTGAATAAACGTAATTAAAGAAGACGTAAAATTTGAATCTAATAATCCAGCGCGTATTACTATATATTTCCCAGATAATTCATTGTCTAGTCAATATCGTAAAAGGAATATACAATCTCCAAAATATGTTGTATCGAAACATCATACTGACAAAATCTTTTGGGTTGAGGCCAAAATGATGAATAAATTCAAAATTGACATTTCAAATGGTGTTATTATTAGCAGCGACAACCCGAGCGGGTAGACGGCCAACAGCTAAAATTATCGCACGGCCAGACAGACAAAAAGCCAAAACAAACTAAAGGCATTACAAATGTGGGAGTCTTCAAGATTCACAATTATTTACCAACACTCAACCTAATCTGGAATTGGTGGAGATAAGTTAATTTTACCATAATGGAAATTGGTCTGAATTCGATATGAAAAAAAATAAGAAGAAGAAATTGAATGAATAAATAAATAACAGATGGAAGATGGCTTTGAGTCAAATTTACCACAATTCTTACAACTGTCAAAAGCCACATATTGATTGAATCCACATAATTAAAATTTTTTAAATAGAGAGAAAAATATTTTAGGAATAATAAACGTGTTAACAATGTATTACAAATTTTTAAGAAATTTAACAAAAATATTTTTTTTTCACATAACTTTGGAATTTTAAGTTTTTTTTTTCTTCAAAAGCCTGCAAAATAGAAAGCTTTCTTTTGTTTTGTTTTTTTCTTTGTGGAAATTCAATATAAGTAAAAATAATAGAAATAGTCAAGCCTTTATTTTTTTTTTTATTAAACCCGTCTGCTTATTGTTAAATGCATGACAGGTATACATTAGGAATCAAAGGGAAACAAAATAATAATATTAATAATTTTTTATATCAATTATAATATATCTAAGGTCTCAAACTAGAAACTTAAAAGATTTATTTATTCCTCTTCATCTCACACCATTGAGCCCTATGTCCTAGGACCACAAGATCCTATCAAAATCCTTCTACGTCTTTTTTCCAAATCAAAATTGAAAAAAAACAGACAAAGACTCAATACACACTTTAGACCTACACTTACGACAATTTAGGCCTACTCAAACCCATATGGACATACGCCTCACAAATTTACGGTTCTGCAAAAAAGACATACTTACAAAAACTACTGACATTTCAATCTAACATTTTACGACTTATAGCATGAGCTCCTTGATACGTAAACAACAAAACTTTACATAACGACTTACGACAACCAACTATCGACCAACACATACGCGATCTTTACTCCAGATTTCATCTTAAACTACACGGATATGACAACGGACTTATTAACGACATGGCCACAGCTGACATGCCTACCAGGAGGCGACTAAAGAGGAGCTGGATGAGAGATCTCCTTCCTTAAATTAAGGAAATAAATCAAGACCAGGAGAAGTGCTGCTGGGTACTACTTTTTTTCCTCTTGCCTATGTCAATTTTTCGTATTAGTTACAGCTCATCTGCTTATTGTCAAGCTAATGACAAGTGTGGATGGAAACATGTAGACAAAAAAAACTTTTAATATAACGTCGGTATACAGCAAATAATCATTAAGATCATTTCATAACCTTAAATCACTATTAACAATGAACTTTTCCTTAGTAAAATAAAAAAATTGAGCGCTTGTTGTAACAATATTTGATTTGCAAAAAAAAATTGGTTGTTTAATTAGAAGTCACCGTTTCCAACAAACAAAAGATATGCAAAAGATTTTTGTCAACTCAGTGCATTTACAATGTTTATTATTCAATAAATAAGGGAAAAATCCACAAAAAAAGTTTCTAAAAACCAAAATGTACTTAGTGACTTGTAGCAATAAACCGATATTACATAATTGAAATAACCAAGTTCGTGTTCGCGAAAGCTTTTATAACACGCAAAAATTAAAGATTTATATCTTGATAAAGATAATTAAAATATTTTGAACAGTTCTGTTTTGACGGAGTACCGAACATCCAGCGGATCAAGGTGAAGTTTCAAACTACTGAAACTCGATCCTGCCCGAAGGAATGTGGCATTGGGGAATCTCATAAACAAGGGGGTGCAAAGAAGTGTGAGGCTTCAAACAAACCGTGGGATGAAATGAGTACGCTGGCCGGATCGTCAGTGAGAGGCGTGAGGAGAGACGCGCGTGACAGACAGATGCAGGCTTCCCGTCACCCAACCTATAATTAGTTCTCGCGTCCGCCTCAGGGGATATCCATTCTGTCCTCAACTTCCTGGTAACTTCTTCGAAGTAAAGTCGATCGCTTTGGGAGAACTTGTCGAAATTCAGATGGAAATAAGAGCTTTCTGAGGATGATGGATCCTTTCAAGAAAAGGAATTTCTTTTTATACTAAATAACAAGGTATCAAGATATAAATAAAATAAAATATAAGAATTGTACACCATCGATAGGAAATTAGTGAATACCTGTAATAATTATTCGATGTTATTTTTTTGCTTTTTTTACTTCTCTCGTTAACAGTCATCGGTATCATTCATAATCTGTTGTAATACTTTGTAAATAATAAAAGTTAGAGTAACGACCCGCTCTCCACTATTCTGTAGAATTCATCTTAATGTGTTTTTGCATGGCCTAATTCTTTTTTTTTTTTTTTTTTTTAGGTATTTACAAATTAGGGCCATTCTTCCAGTAGGTGTTTCACTGTTTGGGATATATTATTGCATTTCTAGAACCTCTTAGAAGGTAGCCATGAGTAAACTGACTGTGTCCAATGATAAGTCGACACAGCATAAGTTCTCTTCTCAAACGTCTGGAGCTAGTGAGGTATTTGCCACAATTAGGTATCACATCTTTCAGTTTACACACTTTGCTTGTCCATTCTTTCTCCCGCTCTGCTAATTGTTTTCTTTGCTTGGTGTACTCAATATTGTGAGGTAACAATTTAAATCTAGTCACCCACATTTCTTCTCCTCTTCTAGCTTAATGGGTTGCATAGTCAGCTTTTTCGTTTCCTAAAATTCCTAAAGTAGTCGCGTATCCTCTCTCTGTACAACCCAACTACAAGAAATTATAGACCAAGTAATTTACTTTTCATACCTTTTTCATTTAGACTACAACTAAATCGGGAAGCAAGAGTTATCCGACAAATCACATACTAATAATATCATTTCAGTCCAATGGCGATTTATACTGCTTTGAAAAGAATATTTAAAAGAATGTTATTTTTTGAAAAAACATTTCTCGAAAACTATTGAATATAAACTCTATCAGAGATCCAAACGAAAATTACATAATGAATGGCAAAGTAGTTTATAATAATTATTTTCATACAAACACAAGTCTCTATAATATTTGAAAAATTCCATAAACGGACGAAAAAACCAACAGAATTTATAATTTTGTCTGCCAGTTCAGTGCTCAAGTAACTAAACCCAATTGATAATAATTTTCATATGAATGTTTTTTACAAAAATTTAGCCAAAAGTTAAAAAATCTAATAAAAATCTGTTAACTATATATCATCAAATAGCATTTAGTTAAATATCAATATTTATGAATTTCAATTTTGTTTTACAACCATTTGCGCCCTTCATATTTTATTTAAATAAAACTAATATGCCAAATCCATTAAAATACTCTTGTAAGAAAAGCAATGTTGTTTTGGAATGATAATCATAAGAACACATTTTCAAAAAATATACTAAAGAACTATATATCTCACAACTTTTATTATGATACCGAATTGCATATCAACTTAAACAAACCCCTAGGGAATACATGTTTTCTTTAACAGTCTGAAAGCTAGTAGATATATTTATATAGTTAAAAAATTTGTTGTGTATAGGAAAAGGAAGAAACACAACTATAGATCTTTTCATATAGGTTAAAAATTCAAAGGAACCCAAAACGCCAAAACAATGGAACTTTATGCAATTGGTTTTAACTTATATGATCGATTTGTTAGTTATTTTATCGAGTTCAGCAAATTCTATATTGTCTACTCAAGAATAAATAACATAGGACGGTTAAACAACAGCTAACAAAGGAGAGAAGCGTGAGAGATAAGAGAATGAATTATAAGTATTCCCGACAATTCTATTCATGCCAGAATTTATAACATACGTTTCAATCATAATTTGCATGGCATCAGAAAAATAGTAAAATACACAAAATTACTTACTCTTTATGTTCCATTAAATAGAAAGATGAGTAAATACATCAAAGAATAAAAACGAAATAATTTGTTCATAGAATGAAATATACGTGGAACTGTTGCGAGTTATCAAGCGTTATTTTTTGTAAATAAGAAGTTTAATCGACAATATTAGATCTCTGATGTTCAAAGATAACTAAATATTAAACAAAGGGAATTTATAAATATAGAAATAATCATAATTGGGGAAATAATTAAAAAAATAGATAATTTGTCTTATTTTCGGTTTATTATTTTAAAAATGAACCATTATAATTAATAACAAAAGAAAATTTAACCACTTCAAACTTCGAGACTTTTAAATACACAGCATCTAAAAATTATGCACAAAAATTTCTTTATACACAATCTAATGTTTTTCTCCGAGACTTTTGTTTAATAATAAATTTAACAAATAAATAATAATAGAAACAAATCGTGGTGTTATAATTTGGTTGGTTAAATAATTAATAACCATTCATTATAGCAAATATTCTATGCTGTTAATTAACTACGTATTCGAATTAAGTACAATCAATAAAACAAATATTTATTAACTATTATTATAAAATAAAATTTAAAGCTAATGCTTTAAAAAAAAAAATGCTTACCAACAATAATGAATATGATGCAAATATTTAAACTAGTTCTAATAACCTAAGATCAAAATATATTTTCTAGTTGTTTATTTAGTTGTTTTTTTTAATCAATTTTATTGTTGTTTTTTTCACCCAGGCATTATGAAGGATATCAAAACTGTTCGAAAACGGATCACGTTTCAATTAGGAGTTGGACAACGCATTGGAATCCCTGACTGACATTCAAGAACTGAGTCAACGAACCGAATAAATTTGATAAAACCGTCAAATTAAATTTCTGTTATCAACGGACAGTGTAAATCGATTGCTGTAAGTCGACAATTCGATAAATCGACAGTTCAAAGGTAATATAAAATGTAAATAATATGGTATTCAATTTTTTGTTAGATACTAACTACAAAAAGAACATTCTGTTTTTTAACTAAATAAACATTTCAAAATATTTTATAAATTATATTATTTAAATAAATTAAAAACAGGTCTTAAAAATAAATGACAGTTTTTTTTTCTCAATCCATGCTTATTTAATATTATACTAACAAGGTGTAGCTATAGTCAGTGGGTCACCGATTTAAACCAATTTTTTTTATGGTGACACTAAATCCAAATATATTAGACACATACCCCACCACTCGTTCCAATAGGAGTGGTAGTTTTTTTCGAGAAAAAAAATAATATAATTTCAAACAAAATTTATGTGATACATTTTTGCCCGAATTTTTAGGATATTTATTATATATCATTTTATAGGGTATTACAGTTTATTTTTTGTGTAGAATAAGAAAAAAAAATTGATGATTGTATTTAATGAGTTACAATATATCATCAATTACAAAAACCAAAATTCTAGTAAAGTAGGCCAAATAAATTTTTGTATGAGTTGAAGCTCTCAAGTGTCGATTGTTGTAGAAATCGAAAATTGCAAAATTTAACGCTTGATTTTCATGCAGGATTTTTTAAGTGGCCGATAACTAAAGCATTCACAACTCCTCAGGATTTTCTCCAAATTTGACATAAGTACAACTGTTGCAAAGCTGAATCACTATAACTTTTAGAATTCATTCATTTTTAAATTAGAAATTAAGAAATACTTATCAACCATTTTTATTTTATATCTTTGGTTTTGTATCATATAGAGCTCTAAATTCCTAATATTTTTTATGTTGAACGGTGGAGCTGTTCCAAAGTTATTGCATTTTTTGTGGTTGTATAAATTTCGTGCAGAAAAATTTAGTTTCAGTTAGTATAGAAAATCGTGTTTAAGGGCTTTTCGGTAAAAAACGAATATCAACTTTGTTTCTTCATTAAATCTCAATAAATAGATGAACAGAAATATTTTTTTACTTCATTTTTAACCAAAAAAAAAAAAAAAACACATATAATATTCACTTAGTTTAATCAAGGTTAAAGGAATGAACGAAAAAAAAAAATCACAGTTATGTTGAGCTGAATAAACATTAAAATGAAAATGTAAATATAATGAAAAAAATAATATAGGCACATATTATAAAGAGATCCAATTTTAAAATTGGGATATATATTTTTTTTAAAATGAAGAAATAACAATAATTAAATTGAGAATAAAAAGAAATAAAAAAAATATTAATCAAATAAAAACTAGTGGGTAAATTAATCATGATATATCAATAATGATATAATTTATTACTAATGATAAAATTAAAGCAAATAATTAAAATACAAAGCCTAAAAATAAGAATATATTTGTTAATTTTATATACGTCTGACGTTTCTTATCTTTTTTAAATAAATATAAAAAAAAATGAAATAACTGAAATCGTTATTAAAAGAGATCAATGAAAATGAGAAAACGAAATGTTTATTTTTAATAAACTATGGTTTTCTAAACATTTAAAGGTATGTATGTGTTCTTTTTTATTTATTCATTTTTATGTTTATTCATTCATTTTTATGTTTATTCATTCATTTTTATGTTTATTCATTCTTTTTTATTTATTCATTTTTATTCATTTTTATGTTTCATTTTTATGTCTTTTTTATTTATTCATTTTTAATAAACAATGGTTTTCTAAACATTTAAAGGTATGTATGTGTTCTTTTTTATTTATTCATTTTTATGTTGTTTCATACTTGTTTATTGTATATATATTATTTTTCTGTATAATTTATTTTTTCACTGTACATAGAGTGTGAATGTGATTCCTGCACACTATTATAAATGTCCTTTGAGACAGATTGTAATATTTTCAATAAACAAATAAATACAAAAAAAATTATAAATCAACAGTCAATAAAAAAATGTGGTACATTAATTAATATATAAATTAAAGGGTTTGGAAAAATAAAATAAATTATCCAATGCATGTTAAGTGAATCAATTTAATTAAATTAATTATATTGTATTATGTAAAATACTACGTAATTAAAAGTATTTAACTACATTAAAGGGAATAATCGGAGTGCAAGAGCTGATAAGAGAAGACACCCATATACTAAGGAAAAATAAAACTGTCCAAAAGGTCACGAACTGTAAATATCAGGCGGTTAGATCTTTTTGCTGACCATGTTCATAAAATAACCAGACCATCTTCATAAAATAACCGCTCTCCTAGAAAATATTAGATTATACTGAATCATGTAAATTACCTATGAGCTCGTTGCTGTCGAGTTCCCGGTCCTTCTGTACTGAATTCAGGATGCATTTTCGGACCATAATCGAACTCCAAAAGATATAACGAACTTCAAAACTTACAAATTAAGTTACACGAAACCACTGGCTATAATAGAGCACTTAGTGTCAAGTCACGATAGGATACAGCCGGAGTACAGTGTAACACTGATAACATGCCAGTAATCCACTACACCTGCATAACAAACACAGCTGTATAAATATAGAATATTTATATATACAAAACTATGACGGAATACTATTGTTTTTCAAGCATCAATCGAATTTATTAAATCTAAATTTAATCACGGTGAAGGACCTTCAGTTTGCGTTTTTAAATTATAGATTTAAATGTTATGAAGTACAGATGGGATATCCAAAGCCCAAAATCGGTATAAATATTAAATCGCTATAACTATCGATAAAATCAAAATATCGGACTTGAAAGATCGATAGTCGATATTTTCTTCAATATTATAAACATTTTTGAAATATTAATATTGATTCTGCCAACATGCTAATTCAATCGCATAATACGTATATTTCTTTAATATAAAAATAATAAATTTATGAAAATTATTTTCCCTTACTGATTATGAATGAAAAGAGTCCCACGCGCTCTACTAAACTCTACTTATGAATGACCATCTATAGTCGATATTATCGAAATATCGATATTTTCCTCTGCTACTAATTACATTCTATATGAAACAGGCAAGATGAGTATAATTTTTTTTTAAATATTACATTCATAGATAATTTTTCTAACGCTTTCCAACAAAATTTTAATTTTCAAAATAAAATATCGAAAGGTCGATAATGACATTCAATAATATCGAAGTAGATACTACATATGGTGATATATATCGCAAGGATAATATCTACTATCATCGGCCATACCTAATATGAGGTCAAAGTATCTTGTAATTAATATCCTATATATTATTTCTAAAAGGTGTTTTTTTTTTTGGTCGATACACCATAACTTCGTTAATTCTTCATCAAATCTAATGATTGACCACTCATTTTGGAAGATATTCTTCTCCTTCACATGCGAAATGGTCCTATCTCCCTGAAATTTCTGGGTAAAAAGTTATGAAGGAAAAGAAACTTTATTTGCTAATATCTCAAAAAGTATGCAATTTTTTCTCGATTGTACCCATGATAATTTAGAAAGATTACTAAATTACCTACAAAATCGGACAATTATTAACAAAGATACAGTCTATTAGTTTTGGTATACTTAATAATGTCTCCCTGTTTAAATATATTTTTAGGAGTAGAATAGTCTACTACACTCTTTTTCCTGGCTGATATATTAACTTTGTTATTTCTTAAAGACATTGGGTTGTTCTTACATTTTATTTTATTTTTTTAAGAATTTAGAAAATCCCATGATCGGGGCATTATTTTGTCTTTATTACTTTTATTATACTTCCAGTCAGCGTTTAAAAATAAGTCTAAGCAAAACAATTTAAAAAATTATTTTTTTCGATTATGTTTAATGGAATATTGTAATCGACCAAGGAAACATTATTAATTCCTTCCTTAGAAAATAAATAGGAACAACTTATTTCCATGTTGTTTTATTGTTTCTTCACTAAACAAAATTGTCTGCAAATTATTCGTAAGGGCCAACTAGTAATATTATATTAATGGATTAATTTTTCAAAAGTTAAATTAAATTAAATTATTACCATTAAATTAAATATTGGTTATTAATAGTTATTCATGATCATTTCGACAGAATTCTAATAAGGTCGCAGAAAGAGGCAATTAAAAAAAAAAATCAACAATAGGGTATCTTTTTTTTTCGTAATTAGTTTCTGTAAAAATGTCAAAATACTTATAATTGCAAATCTATAGCAATTAATTCGTTGTTTATATTTGCAGATTTTTTATTTTTAAATGTTAGAAGGGAGAGGATGATCCACGCCCATCATTAATACAACTTCCAATTCGTGAATGAGAATCTTCATTTCACCTACTGCTATGTATTGTAAAGACCGCCGGTGGTATTCATTTAGTTATTTTAAAGGTATAAATAAATAAATATCATAAGTGGCCACATATGGCGCTACCTGACCGAGGGTAACGACCCACAAGCCCAACCTTTTGTAAGTGGTAATAAAAACCTTTAAGAACCACCGACCAAGACCGACAACTGAGTGTTTAAACAGGATCCCGAAAAACCTTTTCACACCTTCCACCAGAAATAGGTAAATCTGTACCTGCTGCTTTACCTTGGCCTGGGGGAGAGGGCGTGGTCATCCCTTAGGCTGAGAATATTCAGCCAATCAGGAAAAAGACTAGCAAAAGAGAGGGGGATGAAGAAAGGTGGGAAATAGAAAATTGGGACTGAGGACTTCCTTTTGGGACTCAGAGGAGGAGACATCGTTTTGGGACTCAGCGGAGGAGATTTCAAGCGGGGGAGTCGAGGGAGGAAGACGAAGACAGCCGGAGAGAGCAGATGGACGGACTAGACGCTGAAGGAGAGCAGAGACAGGGAATCCAGATATGACGGCTAGAAACACCTAGAAACACTATGAAGGACCAGCTAAGTGGTAACAAGCATTTAGTTATACTAATGTAAATTTGTGTTGGCAACCATACATCATTAATTAATATAATCAATATAACACATGTAACTTTAATCAAACATCAAGCATTCTCTTCCAGGATGATTCTCAACTATTCATTATGTATATAGGTTTAGTTATTATTTTGTATATAGATGTTTTTGGTTTTATTTAAGCTTGTAAATATAATAGTTAGTAAACCAACGTAGTACTTTTACCATCTACCTTGCATGCCACCAGTTAGATATAGAACAAATAGTAAATTTAAAAACATGATACCTTTAGAAAGGAAATCCAATAAAAATTATATGGTTCAATCTAGGATACTATAGTAGGGGGTCTGTGGTATCTTACCTTTAAATACCTAATTAATATATTTTTCTGTAGATCGGTTCTCTTCTGGAACCGATATGAATACAAATATAAGTATTTAATACAAATAAATGCGATTCCTGGAACCCCCTACTCGCCGTAGAAACGCGAGGCCAGGAACATAGCACTACGGATCCAATGCTTACAAGTAACAGTTCTTTAGATATGTACGTTGTACGAACTAAGTTTTCCATAATTAGTTGGATCAATAAGATACATATAATAAGAAATAAAAAACAAACATTAACACCAAAATACAACAAAACCATTAGTACTTTTTTTTTTTTTTAAAGAAATACATTTAGTAAATTTGAACATATGGATATAATGACGTGAAAACGATTGTTAGGAACTACCCAATGGTAGCACTCTAATGATATGTCTACATTAGGAGATCACGGGACCATCTTCTTTTCAGGGTTATTAGGAATCGAAGAGGAAGCAAGACTAGAAACAAGAGGGTTGGGATGATTCTGAAGTTTATTATGGAAGGATAGGTATCAGAAATAGGCCAGATTTGAAACATAAGAAACATTAAGGTCATTATGGATGGTTTTATTTATAACAAAGTAGGGATCATTAAGGATTTTACGAAGGATTTTGGATTGTAAGGATTGGATACGAGAGGAATTAGATGGTTTAGTGGAGCCCCATTGCTCAACTCCGTAAGTACAAATAGGCCTTATTATAGTCATATATATGAGTCTTTTGTAATTAATTGGAAATTCAGAGCGTTTGTCTAGTAAGTGCTGAAGTAATCGGAAATTGTCCAGGTGGAGTTCTAGGTAGCGGATTTGCTCGACAGGGATAAGTGGTGTATTGTTAAAGGAAACAGTAGGACAGGAAGTCATAGGTATATGACGAAGGATAAAGTACTTTTTTTTATTAATACCGACAAATACATTTCCGTTTAAACTCGATTCACATGTATTTTATATAATGCTTCTTTGTGTCATAGTAATTGCTAATAAAATCCACTCTTACACTGCTTTGAAGATTTTATGATTAATACTAAATTCTCATTAGGAAGAAATTCAAAGTCTATTAAAGTCAGGCTGGCATAAATGAACCTTTGATAGCCTCACTTAATATGATTTACGCTAATAAGACTCTTCTTGAATATAGGTTAGCTAAAAAATAAACAGGCAACAAATTTCATCAACATCGTAAACCTAACACTTAAGTTCAGGAATAATCAAAGGCCGTAAAAGTTTGTATTTATGGAGAAAGTGTCAGTACCATGTACACGACATGCAAAACAGTATATAAGTAGTACGTAACTTACTTGAATAATGTTTATTAGTAAATAAAATTGTGCAATTACAAGATACAAGTTAAGGATCACTATATATTCTTTTGAATTTATGATAACGTTCAAGATGTCGTATTTATTTATGCTGGCTATGATTTTGTTTATTTTATTGTATACTGTGCATATGTTACTAATACTAACACTATTAAACGATTACGTATTATCAAAGGAAGGCAGTTGTGTTAAAGGAAAAAAAAAAGTCAATTTATTTACAACACAACAATTATTTAAAAAAAAACAACAACAAAAAAACAGAACAATATTCTTTGATTATTTTAATAACCAGAACCTTGGGGCATTGCACGTGTGGACTATTAAACACTAATGTGGAGACCATGGTTTATAAATACATCAAAGTAAGTTTAAAATATTCACAACTTTAAAATAAATATAACCATGCCCGGGTTCTAGACATGCATATATCTTTAAAAATTATTGCACGTCAATGTGTTAACAAATTACCGAAGTTAAATATTTATTTAACTATTTATTTCTTGGCTCACATTTCTTGAACACTGAGCTGTTTTCCAACATGATTTATTACTTCGATAATATTTCAGAGCTTTGTGTTAAAAATTTAAACTTTTACTTAATTTTTTTCTTATGCATAAAATTTCCTGGTTCTGAATCGCCAAAGTTTCTCCATAGTAAGTTATATTTTGATTCTTTAATTGCCATATAAATTACAAAAGATTAATCATAAATTACAGTATATACTTTTACACATAAATTATGAAATAAAATGATATATTATTTCGAAAATTTGTTGCTTTTAATATTTA